ACACACACACACACACACACACACACACACACACACACACACACACACACCAGTAAAACTTAAATAAAAAGCCAATGTGACCATTTCAAATTTTAGGATTTTTATATTTATTTATTTTTATATAATATGTATAGAGTTTTTTTGTCTGCATACATATTTGTGTACCACATGTTTGCAGTGTCCCCAGAGGCCAGAAAAAGAAGGCATCGGATCCTCAGATCAGGAGTTAGAGATGTTTGTGAGCCATCATGTGGGTGCTGAGAACTGAACCTGGGTCTCTGGAAGAGTAGCCAGTGCTCTTAAATGCTGAGCCATCTCTCCAGCACATTAATTTTACAATTACAACTTCTATTGGTGGGGTTGATAGCCTCCCATGCACATGGAATCACACTGGTGAGTGAGATCTTGGGGGCCTGTGTTGCTTTCCTCATAGCATTTATCTCAGGTGTGCCACTTGCTGACTTGCAGTCTGATTCCCCACTAGACACTGAAATCCTTGAGACTGGAGATTGTGTCTGATTCACCCATCTTTTTCTATACCCTCCCCCTAAAGGACCCCATCATCAATGCATGTGTGATGACCAAATGAGCCATTAATGTGTAAAACCGTCTATCAGAGACGTTATCACACTGTGCAGAAGACAGAGATGAACAGGCATCATTTTAAATCCTGGTTAGTATGAGGCTGTGCAGATTCAATACAGATGTAACCTTGAGCTTTAGGACAGTTCTAGTCATTGAAGACCCTCCAGTTCGTTTCTCCCAGGCAAGAGAACCTTCCTCCCTTTTTTGCACCTTGCTTGGTGGGAGACAGTGGGAAAAGGATGGAGAGTAGTGTCAGCGAGCTTCCACTCACTTGGGACAGCTAACTATTTGTGGGCTTGTTTGAATGTCCCTTGGATTCTGTGGATGTGTCCAGGGGGATTACTTATATTCTCTGTGCTCACATTCTTCCTAAGAATGAGAGTCTAACAGTTTAGAGCAGCTGACTATTCTCACACTTTTTGTCACCTGACTGAATCAGGTCATAAAAACTTGGGTTTTTACTTTTCTGATCGAGAAGCAAAACCTGGACAGACCACCCATACTGTGGCCAGGCCTCTGGGCTAAGAGAAAAGCATGATACAGAGTTCTTATGCGTAGTGAAGACAGAGGTGACTTATTTCACACATGTGTTAATTTTAACATAGATGGTGAGGTTGTGGATAACCTACTATTCTAATGCATCAGTGGATTGAAAACATTCTTTTAATATCCTCTCATGTGGAGTGAATGAGTACCTGCACCATGAGTGTGAGAAATGATGTGCCCATGGGACTATGCTACCTTTAAAACTTGTCCTTCTTTGGTAACAATAAATAGCAAAATATAAACAAAGCAAAAAAAAAAAGTAAAATAAAAACTATGGTTTAAAATACCACATTAGAAGCCAGAATAAAGTTATGTACTACATTTCCCTATTTTGCTGGCATTCTGAGAAAGGTAAAATTAAAGGATCAGGCAACAGATAAGAGGGTGTAGGAACCAAGAGTAGGGTGAGGTTGACTAGCATGGCACAGTTAAGCCTGTTGGGAGTGGCTGTCTTCTCTGTCCTGGTTGTCTTGTGACAGCTACACCCATGAGTGCTTTTGTCAGATGACTGAATTTCCTTTGTTTCCTTTCCTTATGTTAAAATGAAGTGTTTTGTTTTTTTTTTTTAAAGGTAGCAATGGTGGGAAAGACAGGTGGAAAACAGATGATCTGACTATAGTGTGGGTAGGGCACAAGAGAATATTCTGGGGTCCTGGAAGTATATATTTTGATTGAGGGTGGTTCTTATGCAGCCATATGCAGCTAACTCATTTAAGGATACGTAGAGACACAGAATGAATGTGCTTCATCATATGTCTGTCAAAGGTAGATTTTAAACGAGAAGAATGATAACCTTTAGAACTTAAGCCTTTGCTTTGATCCCTCACTGTCTGTTATTAGTGTGATGATGACCTTGAGCAAGTCATTCCTAACCTGGAGCCTTGGACTCTTCATCCATCAACTACAGCTGAGAACAGCCAGCTCACACACACGAGTTAGGGAGAGGCCATGCCTGATGGGGCTGAGATGGCCAGGCACCCTTCCTCCCTTCTCTTGAATGGCCCCTCCTGTAAAGCTGGTCTTTCAGTTAGCTGGAGCTGTTCTACTTGAGAGCCATGAAAGTTAAGCTGTAACATGTGAAACATGTAACATGTGCCAACATCCATATGATTTTTAAAGCTCTTAGGGTCTTGTCTTTCACATCACCATAGCATACTAAATCCTCTAGGGTTGAGTCTTAGCTAATTAGTTAGCTAAGTACTACCTATGGTATTTCTTCAGTTAGTTAGGAAGTATTTGTAACATTAGCTTATAGAGAGTCAGTCATTCCTTACTTATGGTAATATATGTGTGCTCCCATCCTAAAAATTTTTTTCCTTTGCATTTATTCTGTCTTTGAAATAAAATCTTTATCTTGGGTTAAGTGAATAAATATTAATTTAGAAATCCCCATTGGCTCAGCCTACTGGTCTGTTAAATCATAAAGAATACCTATATACTTGCAGCACTGAGCATTTTACAGGCATTTAAAAGCTGTTGCAAATATGGTTGGGCACCATTCTCTCTCCTGAGAAAGCAGGTAGGCATCTCTGGTCTTATAAAAAAAGCAGAAGCTACCAATTTTCAATGCTTGATATATTCCTTGAACTCTGACAGCACTTTTGTGATACTTTGCTTAACTTATTCTAAACTTCCACCTTTTTATATAAACAGGAAGTGTTGTCCTTTTGCAAAGGGAGGCAGCCTGGGAGAGAGGAGGTGACAGCTCTGGGGAAACCGCACCTGTTGTTCTAGGCTGTGTGACTCCACACCCCCAGTCTCCGCATGAGCCATATAGCATCTGCTGCTTTTGAGGGAGGCGGGCAGCCTTCTGACTAGCAGGTTCCAACTACCTCTTGGCTGATGGTACTCAGTTTCAGGTCTGGTCTCCTAGAGTCAAATCCTTTTAAAACTATACTCAGTGATGAAAGAAACCAGAGCCCCTCCTATAACCCCCCCCCCCACACACACACACACACACACAGGACTTCCACTGCTGTGCCCTAAGCCTTCAGTCTTTCTGATTCTAGACATCTGCTCTGTGCTTTGTCTGACTCTCTTCTGCTCTCAGGAAAAGAGCCGAACTTAGTTTAGAGTTCAGTCTCGAAGGCTTCTTAGAAGTGGACTGCCCTGCCGGGCGGTGATGGCACACGCCTTTAATCCCAGCACTCGGGAGGCAGAGCCAGGCGGATCTCTGTGAGTTCGAGGCCAGCCTGGGCTACCAAGTGAGCTCCAGGAAAGGCGCAAAGCTACACAGAGAAAACCTGTCTCGAAAAACCAAAAAAAAAAAAAAAAAAGAAGTGGACTGCCCTAATGCTTATACCAAGATTCCTCCCTTCACTCTTGTCCTTATTCCCTGAAACATCACACAAAGCACCATCCTATCCCCCACACACCAAAAGTGAGACATTTGTAGCTTTTTGAATCTTGGTCATACTTTGATCTTCTAGATGGAAGTGTCTTTCTAACTTATCCAGCTTTTTTCTTCCTGATGTGGCTACCCCCCCCCCCCAATCTAGTTGAAATGCCCTTCCTTGGTGTCCACACAGCTCCTGGTGGCAGCTGGGTCACAGTATATATTGCATTGCTGTTAACAATTCCCATGTCTGTCTCCCAGGAGACTCAAAGTTCCTGGGAGAAAGGCAGCTCTGTATTGCTTTTCTTTCTTTCTTTCTTTCTTTCTCTCTCTCTCTCTCTCTCTCTCTCTCTCTCTCTCTCTCTCTCTCTCTCTCTCGTTCTTTTTTTTCCCAGCTGTCCAGCTCTGAACTGACATCCATAGGTGCTTTTTAAATACTGGTACAAATGGTCCAGCCTTGCAGATTTGGCCTCCAAATATAACAGGGAAAAGTAGATTCTCACCCTGTTTATTGTTTACTTTCTTTTTCCTCCTCTTCTTCTTCCTCCTCCTCCTCTTCTTCTTTTTCCTCAAGAAGAGTGTTGGGGGTCAGGGGTTACTGCAGACAGCTTTACCAACCCTAAGGAAAGTCAATGAGACGCTTAGTTAACTACTTCTGCCCTAGAGCCACAACTGTTAGAAGTTGTATAGAGAAAGAACAATAGGCTTGGATATGAGTAAGTATTACAGCATCAGTTACCATTTCATATGGGGGCTTGTCTGGGAACTGGGTCATCATAGAAGTGAAGATATGTAATGGAGCAAGAAAACTGGCTGCCATTCTGCTCCCTTATGGACTGTCTCCCCAACTCCAACAAGAACACCGGAAGTTGGAAGCCTGGAAGAGTTTGTTTCAAAGAGGCTTTTTAAAATTAATATAGTAATTAATAAAAATTATTTGTTTATTGGTATTAGCTATTGGACCCAAGGCCTTTACCACTGAGTTTCACTACCAGCCAAAAAGTGATACATATTTGTTGTGGGACACTGGGAGAATATGAAAAAACATTTGTACATAATATAGAGCCTGCTTTTATATCTATGTTATAAATATTTTGTATGCTAAATACTTTGCTAGGCCTAGAAATCTCATAGCTCATTGCAATCATTCTTATTGTATACTTGGGATGTTTCCAATTGTGACATGGTGGTATCAAAAAGGCTTTCCTTTTTACCTTTCAAAATACCATGTGCTCAATACAAAACCATAGATTTAGAAAAAAAAATATGAAACAAAGAACAGGTTTTCTATAGTTCATTACCTTGAAATAAATACTAGTAATGTTTTATTTCATCTCTGTGAGAGAGTACATGGCTGTGCATAGTAAAGTGGCTGTGCCCTACCTTTTTTCTTCTGTCTTATTTCATGAGAATTTCTTCATATGACTAAAATCAAGCAAAAATTTTCTGTTGTCTGGATTAAATACAATTTATTTAAATTTTCTCTTAGCACATGTTTAAGTGTGTGTTTGTTTTACAATTAGAAGAAATAACTACTATTTATATAATATGCTACCGAAAATTAAGTCACAAGATTTAATACAGATAAAAATAAGTTTAAAACATATTGATTTTCTGATGTTCCTGTAAATTTTAGTAATTACTCATTAAAAGGCAACTTTCTTTCTCGTTCATACTGTAGAACTTTAAGAAATTATATTAAATGAACTGGTTTCTGCCAAGGATTTTGCTGACTGAGTAACCTTTTCCAAAAGTTAGGTTTTTAGTGTTTCTTCTTTAAATTTTGTAAATTGCAGTCATGTTTTGAGGCGGGTTATAATGCCAATTTTAGGCTTTTGTAATATTGCCAACGTCTTTTCCTGGCTCCTAAAAGTAACAATCCCAGAGCACAAAGACTATTTGAAAACTGAGGACTGGCTGAGTGGTAGGGGTTCTGTCATGGTCACAGCAGAGAGTAACTAATAGCAATTTGGTATCCCACTTCTGCTCACCATGTCCTGGATTCCTAGTTCCTCAGCTTGTTCAGGTCTAGGTTCATCTTTTCTGCTGAGGGGTGCAATAGAGGAAAGCTCAGCTTCACCAAGTGGCTGTTGCTGGTTATGGTACAGAATGACTGGGTTGGTCCAGCCATTGCTGCTTGCATTTCCCAAGTATTGTACTTTATACCTCTCTCGAGACATTGCTAACTTCACACCATAGTTTCACATGCAGAAATTTAGCATTAGTACTCATTCAACTCTCTGCTCAGGAACCTGGATTATGTTAGGAAATGAATGAAAGATTGCTGCTGGACAATGATTGTTCCATTTTAACAACAGTTTAGAAATACTAATGAAGTAAGTGTACCATGTATGAGCTGTCCAGAGGACACTCAACTATACTGTTCTGGAGAATGAGTACCTGCTGGAATAGCAACTCATGCTGACTTGGGGTTTACCCTGAACTTTGAGCTCATATGATTCCAGCAAGTTACCTAGTACCTAGCCTTTCTGTCCTCAACTTTCCTAAACCATTTTCTGGCATCTGCTTGAAATAAGTCAATAAGCAAATTCTTGGTGAGCTCCTGGCATGCAATAAATTCCTAAATAAATAGAAGTCCTTATGGATATTTTTGATCTCTTTGGTGTATCATGAGCAACACAGCAGCAAAGGTGCTTGAAGCTAGGTAGATCTTGCAGTTGTAGTTGAACAGATTATGCTCTCTTCTTGAGGGTTACTGTGCTTTCATGGAGAATTCTGCTTCCGCCTGCCCAGTGCAGGACTGCTAGGTAGAGGTGGAGCTTTTCTCCAGAGTAGCATAGTCTGGTAGGTGAGACAGATTGCTGTGGCCGAGGGAAGCAAGAGAGGGAGGGTTACTTGGCTTACAAAACTTTTCCTTTACCTTTCCTCAAAACTTTGAGAGTTATTTGCAAAAACATTAAGGAGAACTGTCTTAGTGAGAAAGTCAAGGAGTCACTAGAAGTAACTTAAGAGCAGATCAGCTTCCTGCCTGTCTTTGTTGCCGACTCTCTTTGCATGGGTCCACCAGGAGGCTTTGAACATCAGTGGTCTGTACCAATCTCTGGTCTTATCATTTATTTTAATGTTCCTTGCACAAGGTCACTCTTGGATGTGGTGCTCTGGGAAGTCTCACCCCAGAGTGCTTCCCTTCCTTTATTTAACCTCTGACCTGTGAAAACAAGAGTTAATCAAGAGTTCTAAGGTAGCTAAGAGGAAGGGGAAGTGTTTGGTTACAAATTAAATATGAACAAGTCATAAGTCATAAATCTCCAGTAGTGCTACCAGTTGTGTGTCTCAAGTTGCATGTGTCCCAGAGTGTTTGAGTTATAAATTCAAGTTCAGAGCCTTCTGATTGCTTGGGGGTAGGTGCCAGGTTCATTTTCTTTTGGCCTCAAACTCTCTGCCTTCTAAAACATTAGTTTTATTGGACCAGCTCCCTTTATACCTCATGTTCTTGCCTCATGCCTGCCTCTCCTTCCTCCCTTTACCTGCCTGCTGATGTTGATTGGTGTGCTGTTCTCTGAATTGAGACAGAGCCATTTCCCTGAAAGAAGTTGAGCATATGGAAAAAGTCACCAAGGAAAGGCACTGAAGCATTGAGCGTAAATGCCTTTAAGAGACAGCCAGACACTTTTATAGGGAGGTTTGCGATGGAATGAGAGAGCATTCAAGTAGAGATGATGGTGCTGATGAACTAAATGAGTGCTGTTCATGGAAACCGGGTGCCTTGTTTAATCCAGTGCTTCCTGAATGGTCACCACAAGCATGCACATAGAGCCGCAGACTTTAAATTTTAAAAGACTACACAGCTAAGAACCTGTGATGTAACCTGTGGCTTTTCTAGTAAGTTCTTTAAAATGTACATTTAGGTCTCAACATGAGGCACTGGAAACTTGAAATACAGTCCACCATCATCCCCATTTGGTTGAAGCATCTTAAATTGAGCTGTTTATATTTTTGTTTCCAATGTAACATGGACTCTAATTCCTAAAGCAAGGAAGAGTGGACACATGACTGGTATCCCTGGAGCTAGCAGAGTAAGAAAACATACTGGATTGCTGAGAGGCAGCCAAAGTTGGATGCTCAGGGTACTTTATAGCTGAGGGGTTTGGGAGGTAAGCTTTGTATCAGGGTGTTGGAATGAGAACCACAAGGCAAGAATTCTATGTCTCACCTCAGGTTGTATGGAGCAAATAGAACTGAAAACTCAGACTAGACTAATTTTGTGCTTTAGTAGCCATGCCATCATAGGGAGGTTGTTCCACTTCTGAGACTCAGTTTTATCATCTGTAAAATAGGACAATCCTCATACATCAGCTACAGCAAGTACTATATCAAGGCACTAGCACTTGATAAGTGCTCACCCCCTTTACCCATTAGCTTTCACTTCATGTAAAATGATGTCAAGTAGCATTTCCATGGGATAATTAGTTTGGTTGTTTACTACTGAAAGTAGGACAGGACTTCTTATGGAACTGTTTCTTGCCTTTGCCTTTTTTTCTGGGTTTTTTTTTTTTTTTGTTGTTGGTTGTTTTGTTTTATTTTGTTTTGCTTTGTTTTGCTTTGCTTTAATAGTAGAGACAGCATATGTCTCTCTAAGGCTGTGAAAGCTTTGGCGAGGTGGGCCTGGCTTAGGACCTCGCTGGACCATTATATTATATTATAGTTGTAATTCTAGCCATAAAGTCAGATGATCTGAATGGGAAAACTTGCAGGTGTGTACTTGCAGGAGTGGGCCACCCCATAAACTCCTGGGAGCATGATGAAAGGCCTGTGTGCTCACCTTCTCTGGACTCAGTGGAAAATACTGAGAATTACAGCTCGCTGTCAGTGCAGGTGATATTATCCCAAAGGTCTCTCAATAGCAGCATTTCACCAGTGATAACAGCATAGTGCCCCATGCTTTCCTTCAGAGCAATCTCCCTCAATCACAGTCATGCTACCACAGAAAGGAAGACAGCAAACACTCCCTCTAAAAGCAGCAATTATTGAGTACCCATCAAGAGAAAAAGGAGCCTTGTTTTCAAAATCAAATCCAAGTGTATGTTCCAGTGAGTCTATATAAGCACGAGTGTTTCATAGAAGGGGTGTGTGCTCACTTCATAATACAAATTAATATTTGCACTCATTCAGTACATACAATATATTTTCCTGCATACATGTAATAGCTATCACAATGGGGATGTTAATTATGGGCATAAATCCGAGATTCTTGAGCTTAACTGGATACTATAATAAATTTACAATTCAGGATTAGCAGCTGTGAGCAAAGCAGAAAGATCAGGTTGGGCAGGACTGGCTTTGATCTCCCAAAGGGGGTGAATTTTTCTCTTACTTTGACTTTTGGTCTCATTAGCAGTAAGAGTGCAACAATAGCAGGGTGAAGGAAGTTAGTGCTGCTCCAGGCATGGCTGGAAGTGTATTTCCACACTGTGCTTAGCTATGGAGTAGCTTCCAAACAGCCATTTGAGGGTGGGCATCACATCCCCATTTCCCATATGGGGAAGGAGAAGCAAGCATGGGCCACAGCTGGTGAGTTTTTTGCTGTGCACTTGGTGGTGCCACTTCTCTGAGACCTATGCTCTGCCCCTCGTGATCCTCTCTATCACGGTACTGACCCAGTGCTGCTGCATCCTCTGCTGGTGTGAGTTCCCTTTGTGAGCTCTTGAGATGCAAGACCACAGGCACATACTGCAAAGCATGTCCTGTAACATGTGATGCCGGTCTTGGAGCTTCACTGCCATTTCCAACTCCACAGAGATCTTCCCTGAAGCTAAAGCATTTAGCTCAGGAAAGAGCTGTGTGCTTCTCTCCTGGAGAGGAGTGTGCACAGCTCAGCACTAAAGCTGAGTTTAGAGAACTTAGGCCAGCACCCAT